CGGGCATGGTAGTGCACGCCTGTAGTTCCAGCTACTTGGAAGGCTGAGGCGGAAGAATCGGCGGAGCCCAGCAGGTCGAGGCAGCTGTGGCTGAGAGCGGCCACTGCACTCCAGTCTGGATGACAGAGTAAGACTCCAAGTCAAAAAAAAAAAAGTTAAGAGGAAAATCATTGTGGTTTGGAAAATTTAAAGAAGGATTCATGGAGAAGATGAAATTTGAACTAATCTCTAACTGGTGTTTCCTAGAGCATATAATTAATTTAAAATAGTTAACTTGGATTAAGATAGCAATAACTGCTGTGGATGAAACAGAGATAGTCTTTTAAACAAAGGATCTAAATTAAGCATGTTCTTAAATGACTCCTTTATTTTTTATATGTGTAAGGTTAAAAAAGTAAAGAAAAGATTGTACTTTTATAACCTTTTATTTTATTTTATTTTATTTTATTTTATTTTTTTTGAATTGGAGTCTCACTTTGTCACCCAGACTGGAGTGCAGTGGCATGCTCCCGGCTACCGCAGCCTCGACCTGCTGGGCTCCGGCGATCCTTCTGCCTCAGCCTTCCAAGTAGGTGGAACTACAGGTGCACGCTACCACACCTGGCTAATTTTTTGATTTATTGTAGAGATGAGGTCTCGCCAAGTTGCCCAGGCAGGTCTCGAACCCGCGGGCTCAGACTATCCACTCACTTCAGCCTCCCAAGGGGCGGAATTGCAGGCTGAGCCATCGAGCCCAGCTAACCTTTTCTTTTTAAAAAAATGATTTTATTATTATCTTAAAGAAGTTTTTCTTACAGATATATTGTCCAATTGTAGTTTCAAGGAGATACTTTCTTATTTTTATTGTTTTAGTTTTAAATTACAAAATGTGCTAATAGCTTTTCCCTCAACCTAAATTATAATAATATAAATAAATATTCAAGGAAGGGGAGAGGTTTTGTTTGTTTTAATAAAACCATGGAGAACAGATAAAAGCAAAACTTAATTCTGTTTGGATTCTAACTGAATAAAAATAGTAGGCAATAATTTGGAGACTTTTAAAAGAAGAATTCTGACAGGATACCAGTTACAAGTGTATCATAAGCAATTATCAGCAGTTTTCAGTGAGTGTCGTTAGAAAGCTACAGGAGAGAAATTGCATGACTAAGAAAGTTACATTTCTAATTTCCTATTATCCCAGTTATGATGCTTCTGTGAAATGGCAGGCCCTTTTCTTTTTACCCTTGTATTTCCATTTCTAGCAGAGAGACTTTTTTGTGGGGGGGAGGGTCTGGAACAGGGATGAAAGGTTCTCAATTAGTTACCACGACTGGAATGCAGTGGTGCTCTCATAGTTCACTGAAACCTCGACCTCCTGGGCTCAAGCCTCCAGAGCAATTGGGACAGTAGACATGTGGCACCACGTCCAGCTAATTTTTTTTGTTTTTGTTTTTGTTTTAGTAGAAATGGTGTCTTACTAAGTTGTCCAGGCTGGTTATGTATTCCTAGCCTCAAGCAGTCCTACTGCCTCAGTCTCCCAAAGTGCTGGGATTAAAGGTGTGTGCCACCTTGTGTATGGCTTAAAGACAAAAGGTCTTAAAATATCTATATTTAACAACTGAATATTTTTTTTTAATCTCTTTTTTGAGTTGGAGTCTCACTCTGTCGCCTACTCTAGAGTACAGTGGCACACTCAGGGCCAACCCAGCATCGACCTGCTGAGGCTCCAGCGATCCTTCCGTTTCAGTCTTCTAAGTAACCAGAACTACAAGCACAAGCTACCACGCCTGCCTAATTTTTCACATATTGTAGAGACGAGGTCTGGCCAAGTTGCCCAGACTGATCTCGAACTCACAGGCATAGGCGGTCCTCTCTCCTTGGCCTCCCAAAGTACTGGGATTACAGACTGAGCCACCAAGCCCGGCCAACAACTGAATATTTCAAAGCATTTTGTTTTCATTGTGGTTACCTCATGTTTAAACAGTTTTAAAGAAATCATTTATTAACATGAGATTGTCCAAAGTTTGAAAATAAGTTTTTTATATGTTATATGCATCCAGAAATTACTGCATAAGAAATTATCTTGTAAATTAGTTGATTCTTTCTATTCTGATTACAGGATTTCAAAGCACTAAAATGTTAGGATGTCAAAATACTTTACATAGAAAAGAAATAATATTGATCTTGTTTATGGTAGCAATAGTTTGTGGTTAGTTTCAAATATATTTTGTACCTAATTGCAAAGATTGAATTACTTAATTCACCTAAAGATTGATCCATCCTTGACCTGTACATTAGAATCATTCATACAAATTTTTTTAAGACTGAATATTCTGGCTGGGCATTGTGGCTCATGCTTATAACCTCAGCACTTTTGAAGGCCAAGGCAAGAGGATGACTTGAACCCTATATTGCTAGGCAACATAGCAAGACCTTGTCTCTACAGAAAATCAAAAAATTACTCAGAAGTGCACCTGCAATCCTAGCTTCTTGGGAGGTTGAGGCTGAAGGATCACCTAAGCACATGAGGTCGAGGCTGTGGTGAGCCATGATCATGCCACTGCATTCTAGCCTGAGTGACAGAGTGAGATCCCAAGTTACAAACAAAAAAACTTTTGTCATTATATACCCTCTCTAAAGTTATAAAATAAATCAGCATTTTTTAAAGTTACGTTTTGCTCTTTGTTCATTTAGCTATGTATCTTTACTCCATCTAGACTAAAAACTTTGTTTTAATATCTGTCATTTCCTTCCAAGCTGATAATTGTATGTTATAATAGATACTACTTAAGAATACTAATTCAAGCCCAGCTTGGTGGCTCAGCCTGTAATCCCACGCCTTTGGGAGGCTGAGGTGAGTGGATTGCCTGAGCCCACGGGTTCGAGACCCGCCTGGGCAACTTGGCAAGACCTCATCTCTACAATAAATCAAAAATCAGCCGGGCGTGGTAGCGCGTGCCTGTAGTTCCAGCTACTTGGAAGACTGAGACGGAAGGATCGCCGGAGCCCAGCAGGTCGAGGCTGCGGTGGCCGGGAGCGGCCACTGCACTCCAGTCTGGGTGACAGTGAGACTCCAACTCAAAAAAAAAAAAGAATCCTAATTCAGTGTTACTAAGAATTATCTCCATCTTTCTGAAGATTCAGAATCTTTTGTTGAGATCTCTAAAGGAATTGGTATCATCATATATCTTGAACCTTTAATTAGTTAATAGCATATTCAGTCCTTGTCATGATTGAGGGGCAAAGGATGGAGAAAATGATTTTGGGTTCTGTCAGCTCTGTTTTATAGTCTTTGGTCCATGATTGTGGGCAAGAAAATAGTACAGGTCAAATTATAATACAGTATAAAGAATTCTGAGCCGGGCTCAGTGGCTCAGCCTGTTATGCTGCACTTTGGGAGGCTGAGGTGAGTGGATTGCCTGAGCCCGTGGGTTTGAGACCCGCCTGGGCAACTTGGCGAGACCTCATCTCTACAATAAATCAAAAAATTAGCCGGGTGTGGTAGCGCGGGCCTGTAGTTCCAGCTACTAGGAAGGCTGAGGCAGAAGGATCGCTGGAGCCCAGCAGGTTGAGGCTGCGGTGGCCGGGAGTGTACCACTGCACTCCAGTCTGGGCGACAGAGTGAGACTCCAACTCAAAAAAAAAAAAGAATTCTGAAGGTCTAACCCGATGTATTTTTAGTACTGTCAACGTGATTCAATTCCATTATGACAGATGTAGGATGTGATCTGATAATGATGTTTTAGATTTTAAACTTGTGAACTTGATCATAGAGTTGTCCTTAATTCCCCTTTGATGTCACATTTACCTTCCACAATCTCCCTGGAGGGCATTTGGGCATAGATTTTCTTGAAACAAAATGTCTGAAATAGGATGCTTAAAAATGGACAGAAAAATTTTTATAAATAGGATACTTATCATGTTATTCATAATTTAAAAAACTTTGCTGGGCACAGTGGCTCATGCTTGTAATCCCAGCACTTTGGGAAGCGAAGGCAAGAGGATTGCCTGAGCCCACGGATTCAAGACCAGCTTGGGCAACATGGAGAGACCTCGTCTATACAATAAATCAAAAAATTAGCTGGGTAAGCCGAACTCGGTGGCTCAGCCTATAATCCCGCGCCTTTGGGCGGCTGACGTGAGTGGATTGCCTAAGCCCGCGGGTTCGAGACCCGCCTGGGCAACTTGGCAAGACCTCATCTCTACAATAAATCAAAAATCAGCCGGGTGTGGTAGCACATGCCTGTAATTCCGGCTACTCGGAAGGCTGAGGCGGAAGGATTGCCGGAGCCTAGCAGGTCAAGGCTGCAGTGGCCGGGAGCGGCCACTGCACTCCAGTCTGTGCGACAGAGTGAGAATCCAACTCAAAAAAAAATTAGCTGGGTGTGGTGGTGTGTGTCTGTAGTTCCAGCTACTTGGAAGGCTGAAGCAGAAGGATCACCTGAGCCCAGCAGGTCAAAGCTGCGGTGGCTGTGAGCATGCCACTGTACTTCAACCTGGGCAACTGAGTGAGACTTCGGCTGAAAAAAAAAAATTAGAAATAACCTAAATGTCTCAAATCAGGAAATTGGTTAAGTAAATTATTATATCACCAGAATATATAATACTAATAATGTTTAAATTTTTTTTGCTATTGTTGTTAATAAGATGGAAAAATTCCTGATAATGTTGTTTAGGGGAAACAAAGAAAAACAAATTATTAGCCAAGCATGTGCAATGTATCCCAGTTTTCTAAAAATTTTATCTAAATTCCTGGGGAAAAAAGACAAAAATCAAAGATGTCAAAATGATAATGGTGGCCGTTTCAAGGTGGTGGAGTTATAGCTGAATTCTATTTTTCTCATGTACTTTTCTGAGTTTTCACATTTTTTTTGATGAACAGAATTAACCTTGAAATAAGGAATTAATATTTTTGTAAGTATTCTTAGAGTATATGGTTTTCCCAATTCTTGGTGATCCATCATTTTAGTATATTCTATAAATTGATTTTATACATATAGCTTTTCTCATCCCATAAGATGTACACATGTCCTCATATATTCCTTTTTAAGATACAGTCTCCTAATCCATTCTGATTTGTTAACAAAATTGCCACTTGAAGCACAACTTGTCTTATAGCCTCAACAGAATAATAGATCTAATGAAGGACTCAGGGATTACATTAGGGTTGGGGAACACCATATCCTTAGGCCATGTTCAGCCAGTCCTGCCCTGTTTTTACTTACTCGATGCAGTTATCTTTTATGATTGTTCCACAAGCACATTTCACTGCCTACTTATATGCCTAACACATGATACTAGAAAGATAAAGATAAGCCAGGCTCGGTGGCTCAGCCTGTAATTCCGCGCCTTTGGGAGGCTGAGGTGAGTGGATTGCCGGGGTCAAGACCCACCCGGGCAACTTGGCAAGACCTCATCTCTACAATAAATCAAAAAATCAGCCGGGTGTGGTAGCGCGCACCTGTAGTTCCAGCTACTCGGAAGGCTGAGGCGGAAGGATTGCCAGAGCCCAGCAGGTCGAGGCTGTGGTAGCCAGGAGAGGCCACTGCACCCCAGTCTCGGTGTCAGAGTGAGACTCCAACTCAAAAAAAAAAAAATACGAAAGATGAAGATGATAAATTATAAACTACTGTTCCTGCCATCAAGATAGTTTACAACTGAAAATATTATCTTCAGTATTATTTTAGGTTGTCTCAATTAAAGGGAGAAAAGAGAGGATAGGAAGTTTGAAGCTTAGAAACAATGTTTTTTAAAAGGAGAAACTGATAGTAAAATGAGGAAACTTATTTCATGGTTATGTATCTTTAATCTCAACATAAGAAATTTAAACCTCTGTGCTGAAAAAACAATTTACAGAAGATACATAAATAGCTAATGGACATATTTAACCCCAGACCAAAAATACTGTATATATTTATCATAATTAGAATTGTGAAAATTAGAACATTTTTCTCACCTGTAGGAGAATGGTAGAATAAATTGTAGTACACGTGTGTCATAAAATTTGGGCGTATGAAAATTATAAAAGAATAAAAATGATTTGAAAAGTGCTTAAAAGGTAATATTAAAAGAGAAAAGCAGGGATTAAAATTGTGATACATGTAGCTTTATCCCAAGTTTTTTTTTAAAGTATAGTTGGAGGCTCAAAGGCTCTGCTGCTTTTCATTAACTATAAATGAGGAAAGTTGATACTAACTTTAAATCGAACCAATATATTTGAATCCATTAGTCCTGATATTTGGAACAAAAACATTGGTCAGTGCTAAAAGTTCTGTAGAAATGCTTATGCAAAAGACCTCACAGTTTTCCATAATCTATTTCTGGAGTTAAATCTGCTGAAATTGATGAAAATTTGATAATTCTGGGTTAATTTAGGGGGGAGGTGGAAATTGAGGGTTTTTTCACCTATCTTTAAGGAGAAGAATCGTCTGTTTTAAGTACCTATGGGAGGGCTCTTTTAGTTGCAACATGTTATGTTGGGTAGGCTAGAAAGGCAAAGACTAAGTTTGTGTTTTTATAAGCTACCTTGTAAGAAGACCAAATTCTGTAATATTCAAGGCTATATGTTATATGTAAATTTGTGCATAGTTATATCAATATTTAATAAATTTTTTGGTTTATCTCAAATTTTAGTTTCACAGTTATTGAAATGTGCACTCTCATATATATATAAATACCGCAGTAGTTTAAAGCACCTAAAGTGTGAGGTTTAAATGGTATTGTGGACTTCCCTGCTTTTAGGTGTCAGTTGTGTCCAGGTTCTAGGAAAAATAAAAGATACCAGAAGGGAGAAAGGAAGAGGCCAAAAAAGTTGATGAAAATAGTTAACTGAAATAGTTGCATTTGCACGGGTAAAATCTTTTATTAAGTGATATGTTTGTAATTTTTTATCACAAAATAATGTTTCTTTCCTACTGTTAGAATATCCCATAACCAAAATATTTTTCTATTGGTTATTATAATTTTTTTTCCTAAAATACTTCAAGGTGTTGAAGAACAGTTTATCTTATTTCAGTAGTTCCAACAAAATAATGCAGCAAAAAAATTGACAGTACATACTTAATAATGCCCTTTGGCTTATTGTCTTTATTAGCAAATTTTATCCACTTGCCTTTAAATCTTATTGCTTCTGATTGTAGGCTTCTTATATTGGAACAGCTTTTGAACAGTATAAAGCACACAAAAGGAGCTCGTCAGCAAGTAGTTCAGTTACATGTTGTTTCTTCAGTTTCTAGTTTCTTAAAGGTAATTCTATTTTTTTAAATTCAAATGTTGGCTTAATTTTTTTTTAAATGTGACCAACCAAGGAGGTTGGAGGATGCTGTTTATAAAGTACTTTTTTTTTCTTAATTTTTCTTAATCTCTTTATGAAAATGTTTCAGGATTTGGAATTCTCCTTTTACTTTTTCTCCACATAAAGCTTATTAGTCAGAAATCAAACCTGTAATCTTGGCTTAGTGTCATGCATTAGCCTACTGATCCTGATATCCTAGACCAAGGATTGATGGACTTATAGACCAAATCAGCTCATTGTTACTACATTTATGACTTATCATTTCTACATACAGTTAAATATAATAGACTTCATTGATCATTCATTTTATGGACATCTCTGTAAATGTTCTTCCAAACACAGTAATACAGCAGTGATAATTGATTGCCATATTGTTGCCTAGAGCTTTAAAATTATAAAGTGCTTTGTGAAAAAAAATCAAATTATTTTTGTGTGATCAGTGTGGATTTTTGTGATTGATTTTTTTAAAGTAGTAATCCAAGTATGAACGTACTTAGTTAATCAGCATATACATTCCAAACTAGAGAGAATTTATCCCAGTTATAAATTTGGATTGTTCTTTACATATTTCAGTACGTGGCTGACTCCAAGGGAAGTTTGGGTGCAGAAGAAATGAGAAGACTTGTCCTAACATTAGTTATGGGAGCTCTAGAAAGTCCCATCCCCCTATTGAGATGTGCGGCTGCAGAGGCATGGGCTAGATTAGCCCAAGTAGTTGATGATGGAGCTTTTACTGCTGGATTAGCTCAAGTTAGCTTTGACAAGTAAGTGAATTTCATATTTAATAGTCATCCATTATGTGTCAAAACTGGGTGTAGCTTGCTGGTTTTTTGAAACTAAGAATTTCTTTTGGAGATTTTACTAAGAAAAGAAAAATGGTGCCTTTAACCTAAAGGAGAACCCTCTTGGCCTTCTAGTCTTGGAACATAAAACTATTACTATTTCAGCTTTAGTTTTTATACAAGAGAAACATCACTATCTAAGATATGAGTGATATAACTGACCATCAATGTAATGGACTCAAGAACAGTGAGATACAAGTTTTATCATGTAAAGTATATATGACAGGTAGTAAGCAATCTACTGGAAAAAGAAAAGGCTGGCCGGGCTTGGTGGCTCAGCCTGTAATCCCAGCACTTTGGGAGGCTGAGGCGAGTGGATTCCCTGAGCTCACAGGTTCGAGACCAGCCTGGGCAACTTGGCAAGACCTCATATATACAATAAATTTTTTAAAAATTAGCCAGGCATGGTAGTGTGCACCTATAGTCCAGCTACTAGGAAGGCTGAGGCAGAAGGATCGCCAGAGCCCAGCAGGTTGAGGCTGTGGTGGCCGGGAGCATGCCACTGCACTCCAGTTTGAGCAACAGAGTGAGACTCCAACTCAAAAGAAAAGAAAAGGCTGTAGGCTGCACATCAGGAAACTTTTGCTTCCACTACTTCTAACTTTGGGTAGGTTACTTAATCACAGTTTTCTACTATTCCAAATAGGAGGCTATTAATACTGCCCTACCTACTTAAGAATGTTAAGATAAGGCCAGGTTCATGCTTATAATCCCAGTAATTTGAGAACCTGAGATGCGAGGATCACTTGAGGCCAGGAGACTAGCCTGGGCAGTCCTGAGGCCTAGCTACTCGGGGGCTAAGGTAGGAGGATCACCTGAGCCCAGGAGGTGAAGGCTGCAGTGAGTCAAGATCATATTATTTGTACTCCAGCCTGGGTGACACAGCAAGACCATGTCTGTAAAATAGAAAATTTTAAAAATAAGAATGTTGGCTGGGCATGGTGGCTCACACTTGTTATTCCGGCACTTTGCGAGGCGGAGATGAGAGGATTGTCTGAGCCTGCAGGTTTGAGACCAACATGGGCAACATGGCGAGACCTCATCTCTAGAAGAAATCAAAAAAGTAGCCGGAAGTAGTGGCTCACATCTGTAGTTGCAGCTACTTGGAAGGCGAGGTGGAAGGATCGCCTGAGCCCAGCAGGCCGGGGCTACGGTGGCTGTGATAATGCCACTGTACTCCAGCCTGGGCAGCAAAGTGAGACTCCAACTCAAAAAATAAAAATAAAAAAGAACGTTTAGGTAAATGAGATAAAACATACGAAACTGATATGAAAAAATTATAAATAAAAGTTCACAGTTATATTCGTTATGTGTGTATAAAAGTTATATTAGTGTGGTGATGGTGCTGACAACACTTTGACCTTGTAGTGTACTGAATATGTCTAAATTGAAGTCTAGAGTCAGATTACTAACTTGGCTCAAATCCCAGCTCTATCATTTAATAGTTGGTTAATTTGTGAGAGCTATTTTAGCTATCATTTTGGTTTCCTCATCTGTAAAAAGAAGCTGAAAATAGTACCAGCGTTGTTGAGAGGATTAAAGGACTAAATGTAAAGCACTTAAATTAGTGTACAGTATATAGAAAATTCCTAATAAACATTAACTACTTTATTAAATTCCTAATAGACATAAACATGAGCACAGAGGCTCATTCCTATATTCCCAATGCTTCGAGAGGCCGAGGCAGGTGGATTGCTTGAGGCCAGGAGTTCTAGACCAGCCTGAGCAACATAGCAAAACCCTATCTCTACAAAAAATTTAAAAAATTATTGGACGTGGTGTTATACACCTGTAGTTCTAGCTATTGGGGAAGCTGAGGTGGGAGGATCACTTGAGCCCAGGAGTTTAAGGCTACAGTGAGCTATGATCATGCCGCAGCACACCAGCTAGGCAACAAAACAAGACCCTGTCTCTAAACACACACACATTAACTTCTCTTATATTTATTTATTTATTTTTTTTAGTTGCAGTCTCACACTGTTGCCCAGGTTGAAGTATAGTGGCTCGCTCAAAGCCACCACAGCCTCAACCTGCTGGGCTCAGGCAATCCTTCCATGTCAGCCTTTCAAGTAGCTAGAACTACAGGCATGCGCCACCATATCGGGCTAATTTTTAATTTATTGTAGAGGTGAGGTCTCGCCAAGTTGCCCAGACTGGTCTCAGACCTGCAGGCTCAGACAATCCTCTCACCTCGGCCTCCCAAAGTGCTGGGATTATAGGTGTGAGCCACTGCACCTGGCCTTATATTTAATTTTAAAATCAAAGTTCTTAATTTGAAGCTCTCAATGAAAATAAAATATCTCAGCGTATGAGGTTTTTAAATGTAACTTAATGCAAAGTAATAATAATGCTTGCCTGAAGCCGGGCTCGGTGGCTCAGCCTGTAATCCCGCGCCTTTGGGAGGCTGAGGTGA